GTTTCCCCGATTTGTTTAGAAAACTCCAAGTTTTCCTTGCAGATGTCAGATCTGTTCTTCTTCTGAGCTGGAGTCAGCATTCTTGGGACCCATCGAGAACTGACTTTGGACATGTGTAATTTTTCATGAATAATGTGAATCACTGTGCCCTCTGAAATCCCCAGTTAATGAGCTAAAACAGAGACTTTGGTGCGACGATCCTCCAGTATCGCACTCTCCAATTTGTCACACATTTCCTGATCAGAAGCCGCCACAGGGCGCCCCGACCTTGGGCCATCTTCAATTGACTCTCTTCCCCACTTAAACTGCTTGCTCCAAAACTTAACTTGGTAATAAGAAGGCGAAGACACACCAAAAACGTTAGACATACGTTCGTGAATCTCCTTAGGTGTTTTCCCTTCTTTGGTGAGGAATTTGATCACTGAACGATGTTCAAATTTCGTCAAGTCCATGACACAGACTCAGGAAAGGAAATCTAATGCGCTACCACTTTGAACGGACTTGAGCCATTGAGCTGGTATAGTGGTTGGGCACTCACGAGACCTGTCGAGACATATCACAGCAGGCACAGGCCTGTTGCTCATCCCTTTCATATTCAGGTAGATAACTTATTGAGTGGCCCTCGTATATCCACAGACTGTTGAAAACTGATATCCAAATTAGTTATGTGTTTTTGAAACATAACTATCCGATTCTTGTACAGAATCTTCATCTAGGTGAAGTATTCAATACTAATACTCAACTTCAGGGGAATGAAGAGTCAGGAACTTATTCGAGTGTTATCCTGCTCGTCCATGTTTCACTTTGTCTATGAAAAGCATCGAAAGAGATACGGTGATCTCAACTGCCACACGGGGTAAATTAATTGGATTGCTGTACAGGTAATGAATTGCACTTCATGAGGACTAAAAGAAAAAGGAATTGGCTTAAATCTGTTGGACGCTTTGGACGAGTTGTTTCTCCACGGTACCTCGTTCAATCTGTCTGTGCCTGACTGAAGTGCACCTGCCTGAAAACGGAACGACCTCGAAAACGATGACCGCCGAAATTGACAGTCGCCCTTCCGGGAAAAGGATTCTATGTGTTTTCATTCACAATGAAGCGAAAATGAAAATTCAGTGGTTGGGACTCTCCACGGGGCACTGTCTCGGCGGAGGTTGGTATTCGCTCTCGTATTCTGGGAATGTCACGTCCTTCACTTCCTGCGGGAACGGTTCAATCCACACGAGAACAGGCTAGCGTGCTTCGTGCAAAAATGGCAATAAGAGGAGGTAAGGAATGCATACAAAGAGGTTGGGAGATCGTCCGCAAATTCCTGGCTGAGGATCGAATCGAACGGCTTCTTGATAGGCTTCCATGTCGAAGTTCTCCCAATTGAAGCCTCTGAAGTGTTCATGAATGGTCTGATTCGTCGCGTCCAGTTCCCATTCAAGGGATTGCCTTAGAGGAGAGAAATTTAATTTCACCTTTGCTTCGTGAGGCTTTTGAACAATCCCAAGCAGCATGTTTATGTTAATTTTACCTAAATTGAATGCAAATTGTTTGTTTATTTTACATCAATTTTAAGCAAACCATCATCAAGATAATGTCAACATGTTTGCAGAAATGTCACCTCTGTAATACGTAAACGGTGATATAAAATAAACGTAAATATTACGTAAAATGGACATTCCCGTTTTCATCCCCTACAGCATGTTTACATTCATTTTACTTAAAGTTGATGCTAATTTTCTCCTAACGTTCATGCGTATTTAACCAGCGAATTCGTACTTTTGAAGAGAATTGATGTACTGTATTTCTCCCATTCCTTACCGTACTTCGGAACTCAAGGTTACTTGGAAGAGTACGCAAGTACTCATCATCACCAGCCCTCAAGAGTACCATGATGACTCACTAGTTCCTCCTCCTGTACCAGGATCTCTGGAGGAGGAATGAGGGTTTAGAGAAATTCCTTTCCATTAAGAATGTATTGTGTATTTATTGTGTATTTATTGTGTAATTAAGAATGTAAGTGAAGGTATTGCACTTATGAAGCTGGGATTCTACTCTTCCCTAATCCCATGCACTGCTGCAATAACAAGCTTAGCTTCAGCATTTAATGATTCCCTGAGTCATATATTATTAAAATATGTAATAATTTCCTGCTTTCCATATATATATTCATGGATTGCATAATATAAAGTGGAAGGATGATAAGAAAACCTGGTACTATATCGGGAAAGCCAGTACTTAATAGCATTTGAAGAGTGCAGGGAAGAAGGGTTCCACCTAGTGAGGACTCTTGGTATTGCTACTGTGGGATGGTCAGTTAAAGTTTCATATGGAAAGGGTGATGTTAACTTTGCATAAACTTGATATCATGTACTTCACGTCAGATGGAGTGATGTCTAGTTTACGTAAAATACACGTCGATTTTGGTGACTTAGATATAAGAACATAAATTATACGTATACGTGGTGTCATTTTCATGGCGATCGCAAGAAACTTACATTGTTGGCAAAAAATTGATATCTTGTTCACGTAAAAATACTGCTTGGGAAATAATTCATGCTGACGCTTAGGTGAACGTATGAACATGTAATAATACAGCAACCTCGTTCCTGACCTATGCTGATCGGCTCGTTTCGACGAACCAAGTTTTATTTGTATTCTGGTAAACTCCAAATATTAACATGAACCGTTTTATATTTTGCTCATTTTGCTTTCACGTCACAAAACGCTCTGAGTGATTGCTTCTCTCACTGAATGAAGATATTCTTCTTCTATTAATAATGAAGAAGGAATCCCCTGCTTCTTTGTATAAAATGTGGTTTTGCTTAAAATGTGAGATGGCTGAATGGGTTTGCAAACTTCCTGTTAAGGAAGCTCACTTTCAAACATAAGTATATTAATACATTGAAATACGAAACAACCTACATCTCGTGTGTAGACTTGTCCAGGTTTTCTTCTGTGATTTAAATTTATCTGCGGAAGATTCTGTTCAAGATGTCCCATCTTGAACTGACGTATCAAGGATGGGAACAAGAGGGATTAGAGTATGGGAAGTTTTTTCGCTTCCACGTTTGAAGTTTGGAACGAAAGGCAGGAGATTCTCAAAGTAAATGTTTTCTAATGCAATGGAGTTACTCAAATCGGTACAGTTTCATAAAACAAAAAAGAAAAAAAAAGGGGAACAAAGGATGCGAACAGTAACGGAAATAATACCCCAAAAATGAGTCGGTTTCTGACCAAGACATTGCTGGGGTTTTTTTAAAATCATTTTCTCTATATTTCATAATTTTCTTTTCAATGCAATGACTTCCAACTCAAAAAAACTCACACATTCATGTGCATCCCGCCCAGTTGAAATGTGGTGTGGAAGTATTGGTAGTCCACGTTCGTGAGGCAGATGTTCATCCCTTCCACTCGAGGGTAATACATTGCGAAAAGTTCGCACATTTCGTCTTGTGTTTTCAGCCCTCCAACTGTCACGTCCTCTTGTTCCGAAGAAGACAACTCGCATTCTGAATTGAAGTAAACTTTTAGGTCGAGGACATGAAGACGCACTCTCCTTGTTTACTGCATTTCCTACGTGATTTTTTGTGGTTTTCATTCATGTAAGGCTAGCAAATGTGAATGTTTTCTTAGTGCAGCTCGGAATAGTATTCGGCAGATGTAATCATAAGTAACTTTAGCTTCGGCATTTGAAATCAACCAGAAAATATGTTTATTTACTGCCGTTTGCATTCTTAATTAATTTCGATGTCCGCGCGACCTAACTTTCAACTGCAACACTTTTGCCACGTGAAAAGCTTCAATTGGAAAAGGGAGAACATTTAGTGGGCGATTTTGAGAGCGACCACGAAGCCACTTGCTGGATGTATGGGACTGTGGCATAAACACTGTGCATTTCAGCTCAGTAAAAATTACGGAGTAATATTGCAACCTTTAAGGAAAACTTAATTTCTCTCTAATCAGTTGTAGAATGTTCTGGTGATTGTGGGATTTAGGAGAACTTGGCTATCTCCATCATAATAAAAAAAACTTGAAATGCTTCACTACCTTTCTATGACAGGTCATTTTCACTACCCAATAGGCGTGTGTAAAAGACACATTAAATCATGAGGTTTTGACATTGGAAGTAAGGGATGAATATAAAAACCACATGATATTTCCCTGTCTGCAGACTGATGAGGTTCATCATACCGATGGTCATGTGATCACCGGGAAGAAGTATAAACTCCTCTCTGAGGACGCGGCTCTGCTGGTAGTCGAAGGCGTAGTGTTCGTCGTGGAGGATCCAAGAAAGTTCCTCTCCGTCCCTGAATATTCGGGCTCTCATCTTTCTCCCTGCCAGATTCAAATATCTCTAGTTGTTGGATGTCTTTAAACTTTTTCAAAATCTCGACGACTTCTTGCGAAATTGCAAAGTAGACAATAATATTGCAATCACATGGGTTACGTCACGGCATGGCAGCACGAAAATTGTGACGGAATTGTCTGCTGGCTTTCGTAATGAAAAGTATACTTGCTCCCTGCAATATCTTGTCTATTTATGGAACTCAATTAGGTATAAGTGTTCTATTTTATATTTGATGTGCCCACCAGAATTTAACCAGAATTCTTCAAGACTGGATAATATAATATGGATAATGGAAAATCTACTCTGTTAAATGAGATACTGGTCAACATAAAATTTATTGCTCGATGGTTACCCATGAAGATTCGTGGAAGTGCTTCCACGAATCTTCTACCGTCAAGTCATCGTTATTAAGTTAGCATGTGAGCATTGACGCCACTTTAAGGAGTAAAATTCGAAAGGGTCAGTGTCATCTTGCACTTGTTAACGTGCATGCCTCTATCGCTGTCGTTCGCCAAAAACGCAATAGATGAGTAATGAAATGAATCATTTCCCACTAAGAATGCACTTTTGAGGCCTGGTGTCCCCAATTCTACAAACTAGGCGATTTGGGATAGATGAGAAAGAGATATACCGAGAAGGTGGGCGTGCAGCAACCCAGAGAAGATGTGAATCCCCTCAGGAGGAATAAACTTCTCCGTGCATTCTGAAGAACAGTGCCCCACAGTCATGAAATTGTTCAATCCAGGTGGGACAAGCTAAAAAAGAAAGACGAGATTGGCAGTGGGATCCAGTCATATTTCCAGGAAGATACAAAACCTGAATTTTTCATACCATTGTAGGTTTGTCCAATTATAGTGATATAAACGCAACATGCAGGTAGTCACTTGAAGAAGCACTTTTTTTTAAATAGCTAATGTGCCATTGATCTAGTATGAAAATGTAAATGCAGGAAAGGAACATTCTGCAATTACCAGTTATTGCGGTTCAGTGATACCTTGCATATTCTATACCAGAAATGACATTAGTCAACAGAATGGAAAATGAATCTCTCATCCATGTTATAGCGAAACGAGCTGGGCTACAAAACAATTTTATTCATTGTGGTTTTTTGTGCGTTGCTTGCGCGATTTTGTATTTATTGCGAAATTCGCGTCTGGACGCGTCCACGGACGTTCAAGCGTAAGGTATCCAGCTTGTGCAAGCATGCCTGTATACCTTGTATATCCGTGCAAAGAAAGGAATATTGCTCACGTCTCGAATCAAGCCTTGGCGGGATGAGAGATAAAGCACTCCTGAGATCGGAAATTTTTTTTTGGCTTTGCTATTCAAAATGGTGAGATATTCCACCCGCGCAGAAGTGCTGTTAGACTCAATGAAAGTAGTTGAATGTTCAAAACAAACATTTTCGCAAAAAAAGTGGTTTCGCTTCGAATAACATAAATGAAATTCAACATAGTTATGCGAAACGTCTTGAATAGAAACCGAATAAATGCTTCAAGATTTGGTGATGACAAAGTTTAGCGGAAAACTTCCAGGTTGAAAGAGCTTTTCTTTCTCATTAGTTGACTTTGTCATTTGTCCCATTAGTCATTTAAAGCAATTGATGTCTGGGATACTTTGCTCCTTCCTGTTCGCCGTGAAAAATCTTGCGCCAACATCTTCGTAGGGGATCACGTCGGTGATCTGGTCGGCCTCGTGTTACGACTAGGCCGACCAGAGGCTACGACCTTTTCAGGCATTTCTGCATTTTAAAGGCATATGAGCTATTGAGTCATGCGAGTGCCAGTTGTGCAGTAGTGTCGAGGTGCTTGGTGCTGCTTCCTCCTCGATTCTATGGCACTTTACAATAATCCCGTTTCAGGAAAATCACTGTTTTTTGAATGAAAATATACAGGGTGAGCCAAAAAGCCGGACAGTTTTCAACGAAACACTACACTTCCCACACTGCAGATATTTTAACGCGGTTTGCGGCATTTGAAAAAGGAATGAATCAGCTTAACAATGATGTGTTTACTTGTGAACTATCTTCAGCAGTTTCAGAAATTCGGGTGCTCATATGAACAGCAAACAAAAACTGCATTGTAGCGTTCTCAGAGAGAGACGACATGTCACCTTCAGTCACGAAGGTCGCCGGATGTCCATCCCTGTCCTGTCCTGTGGCGACGTAATTTTTGCTTGGTGATTATATGACCTCCCAAATTTCTGGAAGTGTTGATAATATATGAATTGTAAATACACCATTGTAAAGCTCACGCATTCTTAATTCAATGCCGCAAACTGTATTAAACTTTGTTCTGTGTGTGCAGTATTGTGTACTGGTGAAAACTGTCCGGCTCCTTTTGGACCACCCTGTATTTGTATGAATAGCTGAACTATTTGGTGTAGATTAAAAAAATGGTGTCATACCTTGATTATGCAATTTCCAGGGTTGGGTCTATTCCGTGAGTTACAAGTAGAATGAAGTTTTTCTCAAAAATTATCTTACATGATGAAATTCATAAGAAAAACTTACTTTATGGACAATATTTACCTGGGTGTAGACGACATTATGGCCAAACACCACAGTGTCCATGTCGTAGGTCCGGAGATTATCCGTGTAATAAATCGTGAGACCGGAATCGTCGTAGATCCCGTCGACGAGCATGGGGTTGTCGTAATGCACCTCCAATCGGAAATACGTTGCACCCTCCGAGGCTGGTTTAAAGGGGAAACCTGTCTGTTCTGGATAATTTTCTCCCTGAAATGAAGACGTGTGATTAAGGAGTGCATCCTCAACGTGAAGGGAAATATTTGGACATCGTGAAGGGTCAGTGAAGCTTTCGCACAAGTTTCTGTGAGGTTTGGGCGGAAGGTGGAAGGTGATTTCCAGCTATTGCAACAAAAACTGGCATTTTTCTACTTGAAGCTTATACTAGTAGGTGCATCCAATCTGAAATTTCGTGCTGACGATTTCTTTTCCACGAGAAATGTATTCTGTACGTATATAATCAGGAAATAAAAGGAATGTCTCAGAAATATGTCGGAATGTGCAGTTGTGAAAAATAACATATACCATTCCATTTCCAGCCTTTCCGTTTGTTGTGAGGTCATGCAAGAGGAAGAGAAGCGAATTGGCAATATCTTAAAAATGTCCAGGAGACAATTTAACACAAGGCTTTGGAAAAAAAAGTAGATCGCGAGCTAGTCGCCAAATTAATAATGCAGTTAAGAACAAAATTTTAATTATAATATGCATATATTGAATATTCCATCATTGTGAAAGTTAGTTTCTGAAAATCAAACACGTTCGATTTTTTAAATCTTCAATATTATTGCCTATGCTAGAAAAATTACAAAATCAAAATTTTTTCCCAGTTACTATTTTTACGAGATACGAGATTTTTCTAGAGATTTTACAATAAGAGATTTTACGAGATTTTACTTTTTATTTTGCCTTTTGGATTTCATTGCTAGAGTCTTCACTCTAATGATACAATTGCGATTGGTGGACGCCGCTGGTATTGGCAATTCATTACCACTTACTCGCATGGAAAAACCTTCATGTGCGCTTCCTTTATTTCAGCTCAAATGAATTAGCCGTGTCCGAAAAATTGAGCTGGAAAAAAACAACCAAAGTTAAAAGAAGGAATATAATGAACGTTACCACTCCACCGACAGCCCATGCCATGAGGACACTCTGGCAGTTGCTGATGAGGAGATTGATGTTGGGATCGAAGCAAGATGCACCCTGGGGATAATCTTCCAAAAACTGCTCGAAGCCAGCAGTTTCGTCCTCGTTCTCCGTGCACGTAGTTACGACGAAATGGTGGACGTACTCTTCATTCCCTTCCGTTACCCATGGTTGGTACTGTAGCAATAATTGACGTGGATTAGGAGAATTATGATTCCACTATGTAAAAAGATGCTTCAGCATTTGAACTTGTCAGTTACCCCGATGATGTGATGCTTGACGTCGACCGGAGGGGCTTTGAATACACTGCACCAATAGGTGGTATGGATGGGAGGGATGATGATGTCATTTCTCAATTCCCATTCTTTCACGCCTGGCTCATCTGGTATATCCCCTGTCATTGTGAAATGGATAGAAAAATCTGCATTCAAGTCCGTCATAAATGGACAGCTCAGGTCATCATGTATCTGAAGTAGTACCGATCTGTGGATCAAGCAGATTGACAGATTTCACTCCGCGATTGTCCCGCCCGTGATAGAAGGGATCTTCCATCTCAGGATCTGTCTCCCCATATGCATAGATCAGGCTCCACGTGTCACTCTGTGTATGGTATGGAGAACCATGAATTAACGTCTTCATTTATGTATTCAATTATGGGGGGAAAAGCTATTTAGGACACACACCATGTAGGACATATGGGGCGAATTGCATCATATTCCTACCTACTGAAATTCGAAAATGATCGATAATAATTAGAAACAAATTACATGTTTGTATTGCACGGACTGTTGGTCTTTCCTCCTCCTTTTTTAATGTTTACTAAGGACGTTTTTTCTATAGACAAGGAAATGTATAGTAAATGTAGAGATTTCGCCTGAAGTTTCTGCATCATATCTGGTGGAGGAATAAAGTTGTTTTGTTAGGGTCTTTCTGAAGTGGGCTGTGGAAATTCTAAGTTTGTCATTTTATTGCATCACATTGGAAATGCTATCAAACAAAATTTGTATCCATAGGCCCGAATGCTGTAACCTCCTTTAGTCACTTTCCCTTGAGAATACATTGGAGAAAAGGAGCTCTTTAGCTTAAAAGCCCCTTTATCTCCCTTCAATGATTCCTTTGTACCCATATGATCTTCATTTCTATCCCTATTTACCAACGGAGCGTCCTCCTATGATAGTAGCAGGCACATTCGCTCCTCTATCAACCTCGCTCAGCATCCCCTCCCCTACTCACCACTCTCCAGTCTCTTCTGAGGGTCCCCGCCCACCCCTTGGCTACAGGATTGGTTTAGGATTTTTCCATTCAAGAATTGTAAATCGAATTCTAACATAATCAGAACTATCCATGAAGGAAATTACTTACATCTAAAAGCAAAAGTGACGAATGTTTAAATCTTCCATGAATGCAATTATATAATTGGAAGACACCCCAGGGATGGGAAGCACTGTCAGTTCAACAGCGCATATCACTTAGTAACAGTGCCTCTTCCAGAGAGAGCAACGAATGCGGGGTAGGAATAGGAAACTGAGATTGACAGAAGCCTGTTCGGAATGATTCCTAATTCAGCCTGCATAATACTGCCGAATAGGTATGATCAGGTGTGACAACCACACACCTCGTTACTGCATTGGACTCATGGGAATTCGAGCCTAGCGAGCGTAGGCAGGCAGCGCCGTGCCTACTATGGACGCATAATCTGGTTTTGCTTTTACCTCGCAATGAAAACAAGTATTTTCACCTGTACTAATCGAAGAATTAATTAGCAAACATTAATTTGAGAACTCTGTTTTTAAACTGGGTAGGCACTGCCTACCATGCCTACCCCGACGAGCCGCCACTGAGAGAGACCATGATCGAAACAAATATTAGAACAAGGAAAATATCTAGATTTCAATCTCTCGTTTCCTCATCCTGCGGTCATGATGAGGAAAGTAGTGACGGTTTGCAGATACTCTGCAGAACAGTGAGGAGTAGACTTTAGCCTGAAATGCACTTCAAATAGTATTGATACATGCAGGGAAAGATCAACCTCTGTACTGTTCTATGTCTCCTGCCTATAGATGGGATATTAGCATGGACAGGGGGTTGTATTGGTACGGGCCGTGCTAGTAATGCAAATAGAAATACCTTCACCTTGGAGATTCCTCCAATAGATAACGAATTTAGACAATATTCTAACGCCAGTATTGGCCCCAAGAAAGGCCCGGTAGTAATCCCAGTAATCCCAATAATGGTCCAAGATGGGTGCCAATATTGAGCCATGATGTGTATTCCTTTGCAGCCGATGTTGATCCAACATTGGCGTGCCATTGGGGTGGCGAAGCCCAGCGGAAGAAACATTCGTTGGTCCCATACATATGAATCCAACATAGCCCCTATGATCAGTCAAAGCTGGTGTGCTCCACCAGGGAGGTCTCCTAAACAGACTTTGCATCCTTAGACAGGAGGCAATATGGGAAAAAAAGAAACATATCGATCAAGGCACAATTTGTCTTGGTGTCGAACATATTCAAATTACTCCAATTAATGACTGTAATATAGCCATGGGACCTTTTTGGGCTTTTAGCAATTATTCAACATTTATTTTCTACGAGCTGTTATGGAAGACACATGCTTCAAATTTCTTCTATGCCAACAATATCTCGCGAGATACATTAAGAGTAGCCCTTCCAATTGAAAGATATTCCAGAACGGTCGTTCTGTCATCACAGGGGCTAGAAAAGGAAAGCTTCCCTAGAAGTCAAGAGAAAAAAGATTTCCAGTAGGAGGCTTGTAAATTTCAGAATTTATATTGGTTTACCATGGTTTTAAAAGCAACTGCCTATCAATGATAACTTTTCTTGGCCTTTGTGGCGATGTTCTACGTACAGTGATGTAGAAGTCATCTTCATCGCAGGTGTCGATGGGACGTTTAAATCTTAGGGTCAACCCTGCTTCGTCCTCTGATGCGAAGAGGAGTTCGTAGTCTTGACTCTCGTCCACCAAAGGCAACTCGTTTCCCACTGCGTGTCGGTCCTGGCAAAGCAAATCAAGTAGGACATTATTTATTTGCATAAAATAAGGATTCAAAATTACAAAAGAGGTGATTAAGGTATAGAATGCCACCATGTTCATGATTTCCATTGCTCTGTGAAGGGACGTTTCTGCAATATCAACGTGAAATACGCGGGGAGACACTTACCCCTACCTAGAAAAAGCACCTACACCTTTTCGCTATAATAATTTCCAATTCTGGGATTTTCAACTAACGGAAGCGATTCATATTGTTCAAGAAATTTCTTGGTGCTGAATCGAATGAGGTAGTGATTATCGATTTGGGATCTGAGCGACTATAGACATTGTGCCAGGGAAAAGGTGAAGCAAGATTTCGCAGTCCAATGACAATTTTTTTAAAATTTATTTGAAATGCAGCTAAAAATTGATTATACTATTGCAAACTTCTTATTTTGAAAACTCAAATGAATAGCCTCCTAAACTTTATGTTGAAATAAGGATCTGGACAGCTACGAGATTCAGTAAAATGAAAACGAGGAATACGGAATATAAGATAATCCCTTTAGATTAATGTTCAACCCATATCCATGGTACAAGGAGTGATCCAAAAGTTTCTGCCCTGAGGTAGTAGGAATGATCGGAGAGAGCTGAAATTTGGTTCCCATATTCATAACATCCTCATCAGTTATTTATAGGGCTAATAACCTATTTAAGGTGCATATGTAACTTTAATAATATTTTGCATGTAAGACACGTTTCAGTCACTAAAAATATCAGTTTCAATTTGTAGAATTTTGAATGCAGAGAAATTTCTTTTGTTGTACATAGTACTTAAACTATTCATGCGATATACATGTAATCAACCCGATATAGCAGCTCATTTCATAACAAAAATATAAAGCAATACTTCCTTCTGAAGCGACCATGAAGGTGAAACTAAGAACCCTGTCTCTTCAGTTCAGTTATGCCATGTCAGCATTTTTATTTGACAGTGGAAAATGAAAATTTCTCAATAAATTTGAAGCACTGTTCCAACAATCGGACTAGCATTCATGTCCAGAGAGGTAATGCTGAAGAATAAAATTTGTTTCTGCAGTCTTTCACATTTCCTTATACCTCAGTACAGAAACTTTTGGATCACCCCTCTCATATGTTTAGAGATTGTGTGAACTTGTGTGAGATATGGCAAAAAATTTACAATCGCGAATAACCGCGCAATCGCTCGTGCAACATTGCGTTCGTAATGCCTGGAGCATCCAAGGAAACCCTAAGCATTGTACTTTCTTTTTTTTTTATGCTGCTGAAGGTGCGTCACCTATCGTAATCCATTCCCGTTTTGGGCGATATTTATACCAGCAATTAGCGCACCAACAACGGCAGCGAGTGTAGGAATGGTGCAAACGTTTCCGAAGCAGACGAGAGAATTTGAAGGATGACACACTCATCGTACAGCACTGACCTTTCCCACAGCGACTTACACGTGTTCGGTCCAATGAAACGGACTTTGGGTGTGCAGGGTTTTCCAACGGATTATGAATTGCAGGGGGCCGTTATATAGTGGGGCAAACAGCAACCACAGAAATTGTATGAGACTGGTAATGAACGAATTATTGAGAAGCGTTGGGGTCTTTGCCTCAACAAACGTAGGGAATAATCTGAGAAACAGAACATTGACTGCCAGAAAAAAAAATCGTTTTCGTTTGACTGACCCGTGTATTTTGACGATTAAGGCCAATGGTAACAGCTGGTCCTGACAAAGATGGGTGATGCAAAATGCATATGAAGCCAATTATGGGAGGTTTTCAATGAATGTCTATGACAGAAAAATTCCGAGAATTTAGAAGTTGAAAATGGAGGTACTTCAGCAAGCCTCTCACTCAAAATCATTGGACTACAGTCTTGTTTGACTCTCATAGTGACATGAGTATGTGATACTTCACGAGCTCCAAGAACCAATTCATTCGTATTTCAGTGATCCAAATCAATTAGCACATCGTAAATCTTACAGTGCATGTGATGTCATTGCGGCTCTGCTTTATAGTGGAGTGAAAGCTCTGGACGACAGGACTGCAAGGGTTGTTCGGGTATTATTTCTCTTTTGCACCACTGCCATCAATTGCATTAACCTGGGAGACATCATTCGCAGACTTATCGCTTTCAAGGTTCCAAGAAACCTGCTCTAACCAGGGTTTAACTGTCTCACAGACGCCATCTAGCATGCTAAACTGGGTTACAGAAAAATCATGTTCAAGTTTGGTCACAGGAGTATTTCAGGGTGGTGATCTGCCACTTCAAATATTTTCTTTTGTAGCTGATACACTAAAGGCAATTAAATGAAACTGTATCATCATAAAATAGGAAGATGATACAGTCATAATTTCCACCATCAGATGTAAAGAAGATTTTATTGTATCATAAGACATTGGAAATGTTTAAATCTGGTTGGAAAACTCAGGCCTGATCTAAAGTGAATAAAATATGCGGAAACAGTCTTCAAATCAAAGAAAAAGAAGTTCATGATGAGTGGCGGACACGAATAATAATCGAAGGCAATTTGGAGGCTCAGCCAGACAGCTTGGCATAGCTATTGACTCTAGTCTGAATTTCAAGAGCCAAATTCGGAAACTTTCACGAGAAATGCTTCTCGAGATAAATATTCGCAGTCTGCCTTCTCTGGAATAACAGACAATGTGAAATTTTGTAATACGTGCACCACGTATTTCTTATTATATGTTCTTCAACTATTGATGGTTATTTGACTGTTGAGAACAAACGTTTGCTTTTGATATTGTTGGGGAAGCGTGCTTATATATCTAATGTGAAGAGCAAGATGAATGTATCCAATTTTGTTGAGGAGGTCAATTTAGCGAATACTAAACTGGTCATGTCAAATTTGGGGAATTTAGATCAGCCTTTGGGGCCAGAAATTCAAAGAGCCATTGGACAACTGCATAGTCCTGTATCTAGATATGACATTCGCGATCCTAAACCTAATATTTTCAAATCGCAACAATCATTTTGGTATACATATCTGTCTCAGTGAGCCTTTTTGTCATTGACCTATACCTGTAACAAATACGAGGCTTTTGACAACCAGAATCCATAAAAACAAGAAAGCCATTCAATTTCCAGTTCATTTAATTAAGAAAAGAGAAATTAATCCAGTGCATTCGGTGTAGTTACATTTCTCCATCTTCACAGGAAAAATATATATTACAGTTCCATATTGTGGGTTCCTTTAATGGTCAATATTCCTACAAAAATGTATGTTTTCTTGAGATGTTGAGTTGCCTACAAGTTCGCTCTAATCGACCCATGACAATGAGGGGGAACAACCAAGAGGAGGGATTCAGGGGGTGCAACCAAGAGGAGGTGCAAGTTAACGCATTCACGTGCAAGTTAACGCATTTCCAGTTACACATTTTTGCACTGAAATTTATCCTGAATCCATAAATTAACTTAATTGATTTTAAGGTTTTTAAAATAGTGTTATGAAGTATCTAATATACTTAATATGAAGTATCTAATAGACGATCGTGACTGGCGGAGTGAGTGAGTGACTGATGCTAATTCTAACCATGTCCTAGATAAGGCAGAAATCAGAAACTAGGCACACGTGTGCCTTTTGGGATACAGAGTTCAGAAAAAAAAAATTGGAGGCACATGCCCTGGGGCACGCTATTTGGTGGTAAATGTTTTAAATTATAAGTATTTGCGTCAGTCAAATGCAGAGACATGGAAAGCTCAAACGCAGTATGGCCTACTGAGACAATGAGTTTAGATAAAATGTCAATTTTCAGATGCTTGCCCAGGGGGGGGGGCATAATTTTCATGGGTGACGTTTTCAAAATAATCATTTTTGTCCTACCGAACTGGGAAGAAATAGAAAACTGCATCCTGGCCCAAAAATAATTGATATGATGGTCTGTTCAGAAATAATTCCAGTGTTGTGGTGCATACCCTCATGACACTGCTTTTGGCTACGTCGGCTTTTCCAAAGATATTGTTGCACCAGCAGAAAGAGCAAACGGATAAGGCAGAAACTTTGCAGACACATACTTCTCCAAGAACTGTCAGTAAAAATGTTACTTTTTAGACAAATCCCCGGAGGGCACATTTTTTTTTTACAAAATGCACATAATTGGGAAACTTTTCCCATTAAACGAAAGAAGAACTAAAGAAAGTTGAAACTTGGAGCAGAAGTACTTGTTGGATTGCCGAGTGCATGTCCTACTTTTCAAATATGGCCCCCAGGACAGATTATGAAGAGATTTGATGTTAGGCAGACAAGGAGGAATCAGAATTATTATTTTGATGAAAATATCTGTTCGTTCTCTCTCCGTACACATTTTGACTGGCACAAACTTTTAATAACTTTCTTAAAATGAAATTAATGAATGAATCAATAACCTGCACAAACTCACTAGTTACAAAATACAATTATTGGGACATATAATGCCTCCTATTGGTACCGTGAAGAAAGTCTGTCCATCCTTGATCCATCCGACGACAATGTCAGATCCAGTCATGGCACCGTTGGCCGAGAATCCTAACCCGGCCCATCCCTGAGTCCTCGCATGCAGCTCGAATGTGATCTCCCCATTCTCCAAATCCGCAGTCCAGAATAAATTCACGATCCCATCTCGATCCAAGGTCTCATGTCTCTCCCATGTCTGAGTCTGAACCAGAACAAGGGGTACCAGGAATAGAAGAACCTGCCTCACACCAGTCCGCATTGCTTCCATCCAGAGATATGACGACGACGAGAAACGTCCGGAATGTTTTTCCTACATCCTTGAGAGAAACCGCACATGTCTTAACTGCGTAAACAATATTTCGCAACTGGATATGGTCAACAGAAGGTGAATATCACAAGGGATATCCCGCACTTTAGATTCATCTCCCAATGAAAATTATCACACAATTCCCAATGATCTCTTTTATGGCAAATCAAGAGCACTTGTATATGCATACCCCACTCAAAGATTATTCTGTAATATCATAAATTGTATCTCTTGGGAT